TTCCGCCGCCGCACGAATTACATTCTTAGCCCCATTTACTGCCGGCTCCACCATTTGCTCCTTCAATTGAAACAATTGAAAAACCAATTATTAGCCAAATATAGTTGCAATATAAGTCAATTAGGTGTGGCTTGATGAAAATTAGAAACTCTAATTCTGTCATTAAGAGCAATAAAATCGCAAAAAGAAAATAAACATAAGACACGCAAAATTTGCTACGTCCTATTCCGCAGCTTCAGTAATTTACTATGTAAATAATGATATTCACAGTCAGCGATTATTATAGTCATCTTACATGATATATATTAATTATCATTTTTAATAACTAAAAGAAAAGGAAAAAAAAAGGACAAACGGGCCTTTGATATATGCCACATTATAGTAGTCCCCAGCTATAAATAGGATTATTGAATAGGATGATAATACAAAATTCTAATCACAACTCCCGATGACAAATCAGGACAAAAGTCGAAGTTACAAGAGTTAAATTCCTAAGCCCCTGTTTGAGACAACTTAAAATTTTCATTCTCAATCCTCCGTTCATTTTCAATCACACATTTTTCAATAAAATAATATTTTTGATCACATCAATAATTTTTCTTTTTTTTTTCAATCGCACATTTTCCATCAATGTACTATTTCAAAATACATTTTTTCCAAAATATTGTGACACAAACATTGGTCCAGGATTCCCGATTCCCTACACCCCGGTGGCTCCCTGCCCCCTTCTAAACAGCACAGCAACCTCACCGCGGAGGTCAATCAACATACTGACGTCACACAATTTTTTTTTAAATATAAAACCAGTGAAATTAAAAAGTCAAACCAAGATTCAATTTAGGACTAGTGCCCTTTCTTATTGCTTAACGTGTGCCACTTAACATAAAATTCTAAAAGTAATAATAGGTAACATTTAATGTATTTCTGCCATTTTTTCCTTCATCTCCTCAAATGATCAAATAAGGGTTAGGTGAATAATATAAGAACTTACTGGATCATCGGTGACAGGTGATGCAGTGTGGAAAACTCCATCACAGCCGTTGATTGCTTCACGTAAACTTCCATAATCATTAAGCTCAGCTCTGCATAAAATTAATCTCTCATTTGCTCCTTCAAGTTCTCTTAAATGAGAATTCTTGGGATCGTCTGCGTCGAACCCATAAATTGTACGCTATTAGAATTTTGACTGTTGAAGACAAATTTTGATTTAAGGTTTTAGATTACGATGTTTCACCTGGATTTCGGACAGTGCCTCTAACAGTGTAGCCTTTTTCTAGGAGGAGTTTGACGAGCCATGAAGCAATGAAACCTCCGGCGCCGGTGACGCAGACGAGTTTTCCTGGACCTGACGGCATACTGGCGTTTTCTTGCGGTGGTGGGTGGATAAGACGGGGGCGGGTATAAAGAGAAGGGAATAGAATGTTTCAACTTTCAAAGAAAACAACAAACCTTGGTGAAGAAGGGTGTAGCATGTGCGCATTTATAAAAGGAAAATATTTTTACCACTTCACCTACCACAGTTAAATTGTAAAAATGATTTTGGTGGAAGATACTTCTACACCAACCACCCTTCTTTTCTTGGAAATTTAGGATTGATCTCTTAAATATTGACTCAGTAAAAGGTTTGTCACCAACCTTTAAAAATAAGCAAATTAATCTCTCAATCTTACACTGTAATTCTTTTTTAAGGGAATCAAAGGATTTTACCCTCCAAAAGAAACGAACTTAAGTTTAATAAATGGATCTCTTAGTTTGAACCGCATTCTCATTCTTCTACTCATTTTCAATAACACATTCTTCAATAAAATAATATTTTCCATCACATCAATAACTTTTCCTTCCTTTTCAACCACATATTCACCATCACATCACAAAAAAAATGTATTTTCTCTTCGTTCGTACTGCTTGATTTAGGTGTTGGCCCTAATTTCAGTGTAGTTCTAATGACAAAAACCTTTCGAATTTCTATTCAAAGGTCCAATGGGTCTCCTAGTTTTTATTTTTCTAACTTGGAGTCATGCGTGCCAAAAACATTTGAAGTGAGTTGTGTTCTCGTGATACTAAGACAATAGATCGAGGACCAATGGTGCAATTTTTTCTTGGAAATTTTAATTTGATTTGAATTTTCAAAAAATAAGGTGTCCATAATCAAAACTTCGTGTTCTTTTTTTTGCAATTACAATACAAATATAGATATATTGCTTGCCTTATTATTTTTATAAAAATTAAATTATATAAAATCTGTCAATTTAACACAAGCCACTAGACCCATTTTCTTTAATAAATTATTGAGAACAATTTTGCAAACGTTATTTTCTTATTAAATGAACAGATTAAATTTAAAAAATTAAATTAACAAGACATATCCATTTTTTAAACTGTATTTCTTTTGTTGCAACGTGCAAAATTACCTTGTTGAAACAGAAGAAATAAGTTGGCGTGCCTCTTATTTTGACCCTTTATAAAATTGTTTATTTTCTGTTTTCTAAAGACGCTAATTTGTCGCGTGAATATTATATTTTTTAAATGTATATTGTACATATTATCTAGCACCGATATGATGTTAGAGCACTAATTTAGATGACTTCACTTTATTAGTTCAGTTAAATGAGTTGTGACTTTTTACTTAAATATTTTTTTCATTTAGAGCTTGTTTGGGAGGGATTTTTGGGGGAAGAATTGATTTTGAATAGTGATATGATGTGAAATGTGTGGTTGAAAAAGAAGAAAAAATTATTGATGTGACGAAAAATATTATTTTATTGAAAAATGTGTGGTTGAAAATGAGAATTGATTCACTGTAGAAAAATTTAATCCCTCCCAAACGGGACCTAAGAATGAATAAAAAGAAGAAAAAATTATTGATGTGACGAAAAATATTATTTTATTGAAGAATGTGTGGTTGAAAATGAGAATTGATTTACTGTAGAAAAATTTAATCTCTCCCAAACAGGGCCTTAATGTTGTGTAATTGTCATCTAAATTGGGCTTAACACCAATTGTGATCAGTAACATTACTCATTATGATAGCCCCCGGGGCATAGTTCAATGGTGCAAAGAACATGAGTGAGATAATCTCAATTGAGCCGGCAGTCGCAGTGTGAGGGTTCGATTCCTGCCTTTTACAAAGTATGAAATTGAACTCTTTGTGGGCACCAGAATAGTAGAGGACGGGAGTAAGGTAGTCTCAATTGAGCTGATATCCGCAGTGTGAAGGTTCGATTCCTACCTTTTACAAGATATGTAATTTGACTCTTTATGGCACCAGTATAACAACTCTTATACTCTGACCTATTGAGTTACATCCCACGATTTACATCATCCACAATGCTCTAGGGACGGGACGATGAAAAACCGTCAAGGTTGGGGTTCAACCAAACATTACTCATTATGATAATTCTCATTTATGTCTTATATTGGGCTTTCCTTATTTGACTCAAAGTTGGGAACGTTACTCATTATGATAATTCTCCTTTATGTCTTATATTGGGCTTTCCTTATTTGACTCAAAGTTAAAAGGGAAATTTTTTGATGTCCCATTTTTTATGGTTAAAAATGAAAAAGAAAGGAATAAAAATATCATATAAAGTTTTCCAGTTAAAAGGCCTTCTTTGTTCTAAAAAAGTCAAATCTAAAATTTTATTGAAAAAGGCATTCTATACCCTTTCTCTTCTTAGAACATCTCCAATGCAGTATGTGAAATGTCATCTAAGTGGCATGTTCGTGACATTTGTTTCTAATGAAAATGCTAAGTTCAACTTTCATCGCAAATGGATTCAGTTTAAAACACAAATTTCATCTCCAATGTAATAGACGAGAAAAAAATAATAAACAAGAAAGGGAAAAAGGTAAAAATTGCTTACTCGCTTCGGAGCCACCACACGTAGAGGAATCTCTTTACAATGACTATTTTTTGCTTGTCAAGTCGGCTAGATAGAATCCTACTTAGGTTACACGAGAGAGATTCTTACATTGTCCACGGCAATTCTATTTATGCAATCCACATTAGCATATACTCAACCCTAAAGTGCCTCGAGATCTTGAGTAGCTCCACTAGACAATTAAATAACACCAACTACCGTTTAGACTAGCACTAAGATTACTCTTTTAATATATGAGCTAAAAGATGCCATTTTAGAAAAATTAACTTCTTATCCAACTTGTTCCTATTCAAAAATTCCTTACAATATCATATCTCAAATCAAACCTACTACACCTTGGTAACTACTTCACCATGACGTCTCATTTATAAGGAATGATCACCATTATGCTTGTGTCTCATTTCACTATGACGTCTCAATTTCATTTTTTTTTTTTGGTGGCTTGTAGGGTTGGTGGATTGTCAATATCGGATGCCACAAGGTCTAAATCAAAGGACTTTTTTTTTTCAAGGACTGCGCTCATTACCTAACATGTATACTTTTCTCGGTCTTACCATGTAACAATTCAAAGCAAAGCCAGCAATCTCAAATCTCTTGTCCTATCAGATATACTATATGCATGTTGTTAACATAGAAATTGTCAACAACAACCGTGTTGGGCATGCTGCGGCTGTCTCTATACCAGTAAAAGCATATAATTGAAGGAAGATTCCTCGAAATTTACTGAAATAGTCAACATCTCGATCTACCCCTCCATCTTATAACTTGTTCTCGAGAAAACCCATAAAATGTACTTAATTACTAAAATATTACTTCATGTCAAAAAATTTGAAAAGCCATCCTACCAAACAAAGTAACAAGGGAAACAAGAAAAGCCCTCAAGCATTTTGAATTCGGGTATGATCACCCAAAATTAAGATACAGTTGCGAATAAAAATCCGACTAGCAAACTAGATTACTCGAAGTGTTTTTGTTTTTCTTAGCTAAAGGATATTAACCAATAATCCAGGACGCATTCTCAGCTGTAGGCAATATTCAGTTTTTTCCTGCACTGTTCCAAAATTCCAGATCCAAGATCAATTTGCTTCCACAGCAGATTGGGATTACATTCTAGTGAGTCTAGTTGTTAGGTTCTACGTCACTCATCGATGTTTCTGTCTCTGGCTCAAATGTATGTTTTGGTCCATCTGGATGGTCGTTAGATAAGGCATTTGTTTCACGTGTCTCATCCCTTGGATCATCCTGAATGCAATTGACGTTTGCTATAGAATTCTCTCCAGATTTACTGCATTTACAAGTTTTTTTGGGACATGAAGGCAGAAGTTTTAGCTATTAGAAGTCTATACTTGGTACAAGGTAATTCAAGAATAAATGAATACCCAATCTTTAAAAAATTTATAGAACTTCAAAAGCAAAACAACCTTTTAGATGAGGAGGCGCCAAGTTCATGCTCTGTCGATGATCCTGCCTTCCGTTTTTCTATCTTCTTTTTTTTATTCCTGCTCAAGTTCAGAAAAAAAAAAATAATAATTTCACCCAACTCCCAAGTATGTTCGATTATTTATTCATTGGAGGTGGGGGAAAAATCAGACAGAGGATGACTGGAGAATAAAAAATGAAGAACTGAATAGGTTTCAACAAGAAATTAAGCTCCAATAGATTTTCTTCTCCATTACTTTTCCTCTTTCTTTTCTTGACAGGTTGAGAACTCAAATTATAACTGAACTGGATAACTTTCCGGCTTAACATTATTATTTAAGGTATTCATTTTTTGGATAAAAAATTATTAAGGTATTCACAATATGAAGGATAATCCTAGAACATGAAACAAATTTTGTTAAAGTGCTACACTCGACGGAGAGGACTAACAAATGCATGATCAACATGTCTCGCTAAGTGTAATATCTATTTTCAAACATGTTTGGATTTTTATTTTTTTTTATCTTTTTTTTTATTACGCAAAAGAATTACTTATTTTGACGCTAAGGCAGAGGTTACTTTCAAAATAAAAAATTTACTAATTTCTAATAACCGGAAAAAAAAAAAAAAAACACTATCTAACACACACTTATCTATGTAAAAGTAATTTTTTTAAGCTTAGCTAGACATGCACGAGGTTGATTAAAAGAGAGTCCCCTAAAGTGTTTTGACATTTAAAAGATAAACCTTTCCAGAACCATTGTCCAAACAAGGGCAACCATGTTCGCAGCTTAAACTAACAGATTATAACATATTTACTTAAATTTCAACTTACAGAAGAATAAAGCGCTTGAGAGATGATGATAAGAAAAGTGTTGATAGGTTTTTAATCAATTAAAAAGACGTGACTCTCATAATAGTTGAAAATTTTATTGATGCAAAAGTAATTGCCTCAGGTCCAAAGGAACTCATAACAATATTACTTCTTCGAAATTAAAATTTGAACTTACTTGACAGGCACAGTAGCAGGAGAGGGAAGATAGGCATCTTTCTTCTGAAAGGATTGCATCAAGTAGTCACATAACAAAGGAAATATGACGAGAAAGAAAACTAGATAAAATAAACAACAAAATCACCAAAATTTTGATTATTAGATTGTGTACAATCAAAAAAGTATCAGACCAGTTGGGGGCACTTGGCAACCAGTTCCCATCTTTCTTTACTCAGATTCAAGTTTTCTTCCATCTCATCTTCATATACAATCTGCACGAGACAGACTAACTAAGCCATGAGAATGCAGGTGAGGAAGAGTAATAAATGAGTCAAATAAGGTGGTCGGTTCATCTGCAACATAAGTATGTTCCTCCACCAAGCAGTTTAGTTCTCAAGGTGAACTAAGAACATGTTTGGCTAAGCTTAAACAGTTTAATTGTAAGTGAATAAGCAAGTTCTCAAATAATTTGTCTTTTATTGGTCAAAGTTGAAACATGTTACTTGTTTTGACACTAAGATAAGAGTTACATTTAGAATTAACATTTTTTTTTAACTCAAGAAGTATGAAAAATATAAACTATCAAGCTTTGCCAGACATGCTCTAACTAGAATGATGGAAGGAAGATCCTTGTGAAGCTCTTAAGCAAGTATCTTTTCACCTTGTGCTTCTTTGTTAAAGGATCAAAAGATTTAACAATGCCCGGGTAAAACCTGCAAAAATCTTCAATGTAAGAAAATATTGCTACATTTCATATGTAGTACGGGTAATATTTGAGAAATCAAAAATGTCTCCGACTTGGTTTTCCATACAGTCTAAGACGATGTTTGACACCCTACCAAGTTCAACAAAAGAGATGCTCGGATTGAAATTTTTCCTGCTGAGTTCCATACTAGAACCTAGTCGATCCATAATCGCTGCAATTATTTTATTTATTTTCCCTCATGGGGAAGTTGGGGGGTTGGATATGTGAAATAATTCGCTCCCATGGCACAAGAGACATGATGCAACAAAATTTAATACAATGCTAGAGTAACAGAAAAGGAAACCGTTATTAGGTTTCGGAAAATGTAAGTTGGAATAATTTACAATAGAAAGCTTGCATTCAACATTAATTACTCACGTTTTGTCCATTGGCCACCAAACCTGTATCTTCGTGCCAACCAACTCCGCACCATAAGTTTTAACAATACGGGTCCTCCCAGACTTCTGAATTGAAAATTACCAAATAATTGAGAGCAAGAAAATGATTATAATTGTCATAGAAGGATAAACAGCCACTGTTAAAGCATGCATTGCAAAGACAATTACAAGAGAAGACATTTGATGGACGTCATCAATTTCCATCATCGGTATTATTACAGGATGATACCTTTTCCTTATCTGGTGCCAAATTCTTTTTGCATTTGGCATTTGCAGGACCAGATGCGGAGGGGGACGCTACCATCTGCATCACTCATTAAAAAAGAACCATTTAATATAGAAGAACACCAAGGCAGGGAAACCAACTACACAAGCAGAAACCATCAAACAACAATCAGAATGAGAATTTCAATATAAATAGAAGAATACAAAGGAATAGAAATCAATTACAAAAGCAGAAACCATCAAACAACAATCAGAATTGAGAATTTCATCACCTTGTCTCCAATCTTTTCAGATTTACGTTTCTCAGAAATAATTACATTTTTCATTTTTTTCCTCCCATCGAATCCTATAAGTGACAACTCATCTTTTCCATCTGTGTCAGTGTCACTGAGAATCCCTCCGTCCTTTAATGTTATGCTCTCTTTCTTCTTTGGCCGACCCCTTCTACGAGAATGTCCATCATTTGCCAAATGATCTTCAGATACACAAGTGCCCATTTTCTCACTGCGAGATCTCTTTTTGCAAAAAACATCACGTGTTTTATCCTTTCTAGGTTCAGTCGATGAAGCTAACTCCTTTGACGATGAACTTCTAGGTGAGCTACCTTTTTCTTGATTTTTACCATTATGGGGTACTTCAAAGAAATCCTTGCATTCATTTATCCAAGCATGATCATAACCCTCCTCCTGTTTGATCAATGAATTAGGCTTTCTACCCCTTCTCTTTCGAACCAATGCTGTGTCCCTTTCTTGTTGCTGTATTTCTGTAAGGTCACTATTTTTATGCTCCTGCTGACAGCTCCTTAATGTCCCCAGTGAACTTTCATCATCCGAAAGATTTCCATTATCAATCTTAGTTTCAGGAGTGCTATCTTCCGGCTCACAGTTGGATATCTCCTCATCAGACAGAACAACCTCTTTTGCCACCTGAATCATACAAAAGGATATTATTTAACAAAAAACTTAATTTGCAAAAAAACAGAGGAAATGCTAAAAAAGGAAAATTTAGACACGGCATATTTCGAGCATCCATGTCTGCAATTAAAAAGCTCAAAACCATGAAATATGGAATCCCTACGATATCGTGTCAGATACAATCTGCCTCTGGCTAGTTCGTTCCTGTCTTCAAAAGGGTGTCCATTTGTCAAATACTGAATTATTCTATCAGATATTTTAAAGGAGTGGAAACCTTGTAATTATGCAACATGCTGTATGAGTGGTGGAACTTACTGGGATAGATGTGCAATGCTTTATTAGAAAGAGAAATGATCATTGATACCCTTTGCATATAATAAGATTATAATTCCAATTTCCTACACAACTTACACAATGCTCCAGTTGAAAAAGAAAATGACATTGAAGAAAATTGTATTAAGAAGCACATAACATACTACTTTTCATAGAAGAGCTAGAGGCTTGATATTACTATCAGCCATGTCATCTTCCAGACAAGTCTAGCAGATCATCATGCAATTTGACTTTCACATGCTTTATTAGATCATTATAATATTGAAAGAGTAGAATATTCTCCAACAAATGCAGACAGAATAAAACATTCTTCTTACATAAATAATAATCCAAGGGAACAAAGCGTCACTTTAAATACACAAAGTAATTAGAAGAAATGCACCTTGTTTTTCCTACTGGATGTATCCAGGCATACAGAAGTGACTATTTCAGCATAGTCATCAATATTCAGGTTCATTGACTCCACCGCTTTTCTTAGGTAACGTTTTAGTTTGGTGGTGCAGTTTCTAAAGACCTTTTCTCCCAACTCCCAGGAAAAGGGAGAAGTGTTCTGAAACAAAAATTACTTGGTAAAAGAATGACAAAAAATCACATAGAAAAAATAATTCTATTGTAGAGCATGTAAGAGATCATTGCCTTATTTTTCATTGTTACACTGGCTAAAAGGGGACTCAGAAGCTGAAATGAGATTTCATCGCTTTCTTGTATCACCAAAGTCATGATTGTTTCCATGTGTGTGAAAACACTAGGGGGATGATTGGACCTTCAGCAAAAATACACATCACTCAACAGGCATTAAGAGAAAGAGAACTGTTGCTATGATAATGTGATCCAATCAGATATGGGTAAGTATATTAAAATACTAACAGGCCAACTCTTCAGACTTACCTAATGGTCATGAAAAACAGTTGGAACATCTCACCAATTAGAGCATCACATTCCATGTCAACCATCATCAGGCATGACCTGACATTGGCCATAGTTTCAAGAATTTGCAAGGCTCTCTCATAATTGCGACCAGACTCACAGGACAGCTTCTCAAATGCAACCATAAATAATCCAAAAATTCCCTGTCACCAGCAACCTTAAACTAGTTTGTAAATGTGCATATAGCTTAGACGTTGAATATATATATATATATATATA